TTGAAAGTGACTGATCAAACCATTTTTAATGTCTATCATTAAACATTGTAGTAATTTGTGTGATGTATTACCTCCCCAGCACTGTGAAACCACAAGATATAAATAAATGGAAGTTCAATTTTGATATGTTTGTTTTCTCCTTTCTAATCCCTTTCCTCTCATCTCTTGCACTATTTCCCACTTTTTCATTTTTTCTTTCTCTCCTCCCACTGCCCCTTCCTTGTTTTTTATCCCTTTGATTGCAGGTTATCCCACAGGAAGATGAATCTATGAGCAGCTTGATGTATAAATACATCATCCATGAGGACTTGCTGCCTATGATTGGAAACAATAATGTCCTTCTTGAAGAGATGGACACATATGAGTGGGCTCTCAAGAGCTGGTCGCAGTGCTCCAAGGCTTGTGGAGGAGGTCTCTTTCTCTTTTATGTTTCTTACTACATTGAGAAATAGTTAGCCACGATAGTCTGAAGTCAGGCAGAAGGCAGGGTAGATTTATACCTTATGCACTAATCAGGATGTGAATTAAGGGGAAGCTTGGGGGGTGATCCCCCCATAAGAGACAAGACCCCCCTGTAAGATTTGAAAATCATAACAAGGGTGGGGGTGAGGGGGGGTGGAATCTCTGATTGGATTGCTCCTTCACTTAGATGGACTTGTTAATCAATGAACTGGTTTCGTTTTTTTGCAGACCCCCCAAGAGTCAAAGTGTAATTTGAACCCTGACACTAATCACACCAGAGATATACAGCATAAACTTTTGTAAGCACAGGGCTTTGTAAGTTCTCTGCATATGAAAGCTTATGCAATACAGCTCTGATTTAGTTAGCCTATAAGATGCAAATCTACCCTGCCTTTTGTCTTACTACATAGTCACACATGTGTAGCTCTCAGATATCTTGGACATATAGGACGTTAGAAGAATCCCATCAGCCCCTGGCTTCTAAATATCCAGATATTCCTCTTCCTGAGCAATTCCAGGCCTTAATCTTATCTCATTTGGGAAGAGAGTCAAAGTTCCTTTGCAGTATTCTGATGTACTTCATGTCTAAATCTGCTTTGATGCAGTCTCTGTGCTTCCACATGCTTATGATTTCTGTGGATTCTTGGAACCTGGGATTTAATGCAGGGTAATGCGAGCATCCATTATAAAGGTATGAACAATTATTGCCAAGCCTTCTTTGAAACAGCCTTACTCTATATGCACAAGGACAAATTTTTCAGCATGCATTTTTAATTATGCATACATAATTTTGAATGAATTTTGCACACTTAAAAGAAGTAATTCTGCACATGGTACAATTTTGTATGTACAAATGTGGGATTTGCCCACATTAGAAGCACTAGCAGGTTCTGTGGGCGTGGTTAAGTAGGATCACTGAAAGTATTACTTTTTGGCTAGAAACAGGTATTGCTAAATGAAGTGGATCAGCTGTACTGTGATGTGTCACAGCACCGCTGATCTGCTTTACTGGGCAAAATGCACATTGTCCCTTGTTCTGCCTTTGGTGGTGTGGAACAAGGGGTAATGTGATCTCTGGATGTGGTTTTGGGCTCGGTCAGATCCATCTCCATGATTGGCTTTTCCCACTCAGCCAGACTTGCTCCAGTGATTGCTGGGGTTGGGTCTTGGTGAGATTCCCTGGGGTGCCTCTCTGTAAGCATGCAAAGCTGGGTAGGTGTTCTGGGGGCTTGAGGGGCTCTCAGGCCCCTAGAACACCTGCCTGGGGTGGCTGGAGTGTGCAAGCAGCTCAGGCTGCTTGTGTTCTTCTGTCACAGAGTGAATAGATGTCTGCCATAATAAAGTGGCAGAGTCTATTCCCAAGCAAGTGCAGCCAGTTTGCCAAATGGTAGCAATGTTGTTTTTATGATGTGGATTTTTTTCCACTGGGGGAACTAAACTGGGCTGAGGCCCACTCAGCTCTTTTCACTGAAAGCCATAATATGCACTGGAGCTAAGGGGGCAATCTGCTAAATGCACTCCATAGTCTCCAAAGAGTTTATGCCTGTGGCTTATATTGGAATTACACCCTGTGCTAGAACAGAACTTGGATGCAGTCAAGAAACTGGCCCCAGGCCTACAGGGATGAATTGATGGTATTACCTATTTGCCATAATTTCTAAGGGTCAAGCAGGAGTAGGTATTAGAGGGTATTTCTGACTTAGTAACAATATCTTCCCACCATCTGCTTGTTGACTAAAAATGTGTTTATGCCTTTGTGCCTTACAGCATAGAGGAGTCATTGTGTGGCTGCATTAAAGCTCCTTCTATGAAATGCTGAGCTCCACAGTTAAAATGCAAATTTCATAGTGAAAAGCAAGAGGAGCTAGTTAGGGAAATCCAGCTGTTGGTTGAGAAATTGCAGTTCTAAGCCAAGTCTTGATCATACCAACAGTTCCCTCACCCTTTGTGTATTTTCCTTGCTCTGGTTCCTTCAGGTATCCAGTACACCAAGTATGGCTGTCGGAGGAAAAGTGAGAATCGGATGGTGCATCGGAACTTTTGTGATAATGGCAAGAAGCCCAAGCCAATCCGGAGGCGATGTAACCTGCAGGAGTGCTCCCAGCCGATGTAAGTTCTCTCCTCTACTCTCATGGCACTTCCTCTTGCTGGTTTTTTAGTGCCTGCATGAAAGTGCTAAGGGTTAAGACAGGAAGGTCTGGTCATTTTCCCATAGTAGTGCCATAGCTAGCCTTTCTCATTCCTCCCTTGCAAGACAGAGGTAGAGGCATTGCGGAGTGAAGTTGTATTCCTTTAAATACTTTTCCCTCTCCTCTAAAGTGACAACATCTAGGTGACACAGTATTGTCCAGATAATCTGGGGATGTTTGGAAGGAAATTGACTACAATGCAAGTCTTGGAAAACATAACCTAGCAGATTATGCAAGCTCTGAGAGGGACCAAGACAAACCACCCATTGTTTGGCCTACTTGAGTGAAATGTGTTAGAACAGAAAGGGTCCTAGAAGACCCTGAGGGTCCTAGATCTAGGCTGAACCTCATTTTCTGCAAATCAAGTAGTTCCATTGATTTCAGTGGTGCTGGGCTGATCACACCATCTCAAGATTGTGGAATC